CGATGCGGTGAATGCTGACGCTAATGTGAATGCGAACGATCTTGGGAAGCAAGTCATATTGCCTTCATCGTTCACGGGAAGTCCGCGCCACATGCATGAATACGCGATGGATGCCATGACCTATGTTCGCGCATACGGTCGTCCTGATCTGTTCATCACCTTCACGTGTAATCCCACGTGAGCTGATATTGAGGAGCTCCTTTTCCCTGGTCAGGCGGCATCCGATCGACACGATATCATCGCTCGCGTATTCAGACAAAAAATACGATCAATGATGAATTCCATCACTGGAGATCGAGTTTTCGGAGAAAGACGCTGCTGGATGTACTCCATAGAATGGCAAAAGAGAAGACTTCCGCACGCACATATCCTGATCTGGTTGGTGAACAAGATTACACCAGACCAAATCGATGGTATCATCTCCGCGGAAATGACTAATCCATATATTGATCCCGGACTCCACGAGATCGTCATGCAGAACATGTTTCATGGGCCTTGCGGCGATTTGAATCCGAGATGTGTATGCATGGTGAACGGCAAATGCTCGAAACGATATCCGAAACGCCTGATCCCGTCCACCATCACAGGAAACGATGGTTATCCTCAATATCGTAGGAGGTCTGTGGAAGATGGTGGCCGTACGTTCGCCGCACCCGGGTACACAAGTAACCATCTTGGATAACACTTGGATCGTTCCCTATTCACCTCTGCTCTCGAAAACGTTCAAAGCTCACATCAATGTTGAGTACTGCAACTCTGTCAAGTCCATCAAATACATCTGCAAGTATGTAAACAAGGGCAGTGACATGGCAGTTGTTGAAGTGACAAACACTTCAGCACCAGTGGATGAAGTTGAAAGATATTGCCTGGGACGTTACATAAATAGCAATGAAGCTATATGGCGTATTCTCTCATTTCCCATCCACGAACGAGAGCCCGCGGTTGTGCACTTGGCGGTTCACCTCGAGAATGGGCAACGCGTGTATTTCACGACGAGTAACGTGCGGGAAAGAGCAGCTGTACCACCTGCCTCTACATTGACTGCCTTTTTCGATTTGTGCAGAAATCAGGATGATGCCTTCCCGAGATCACTCCTCTATTCCGAGGTGCCAAAATACTACACATGGCAAGTTCAAGGCAAAAGTTCAAGGCTCGCGAACGGGGAACTCCTGTGAATATTGGAGGATACGGAACAAGAATTTCTTCGAATGCTTTGGGCCGGCTTTATACTATTCACCCAAGCAATCAAGAATGTTTCTATTTGAGGCTCCTTCTGGGCAATGTCCAAGGACCAACATCATTCGAGAACTTGAGGACTGTCGAGGGTGAAGTGTGCGCAACTTACAAAGAGGCTTGCGAAAAACTCACCTCCTAGAGGACGACGCGCACTGGAATACAGCGTTATCTGACGCATCGGATACGTGTTCGCCGCTTCAGACTCCGCTGTTCATGAGCTGATCAAGAAAGTCTTCCCAGATATCGAACGGAACTATACGAATCGTCAATGGCTGAGCGCACGTGCGATCTTGGCCGCGAAGAATTGCGATGTGAATGCTCTGAATTTGAACATTCTAACAAAATTCCGGGCGAAGCCAAGACGTACAGATCGATCGACACACTAATGGAGCAAGATGAAGTTGTGAACTATCCGACTGAATTTTTGAATTCACTCGATTTGCCCGGCATGCCTCCTCACATATTGACGTTGAAGCTTGGCGTTCCAATCATTTCGTTGCGGAATCTCCATCCGCCACGATTGTGCAACGGAACAAGGCTCGGTGTCAAAAACCTATGAACAACGTCATCGAGGCAACGATTCTCAACGGGAAATTCGAAGGGGAAGACGTCTTATTGCCGAGAATCCCCATGATTTCCACTGAAATCCCCTTCGAATTCAAACGTTTACAGTTCCCAATTCGTCCTGCTTTCGCTATGACGATAAACAAAGCTCAGGGACAATCGATGCATGTTTGTGGTGAAGAATTGGTGAATTCATGCTTCTCCCACGGTCAACTATATGTTGCCACGTCTAGAGTTGGAAAGCCCTCCGATTTATTCGTGTATGCTCCGGATGGGAAAACCAAAAACATCGTGTATCGAGAGGCGCTCCAATGAGTACTCGGGTGGCGAAATCATTGGCTCTGTGGGAGTATTACGTCTCCGATCTTCCATAGGCTGAAATGGTTTTTTTTTAGTGAGTGCAAGCCCCACACTACCTGGCTTAGACATAAAAAATCGCGCCAGGTGTGCGTTAGGCATTTTTTGTCCCCTCTTTACAATACGGAAAAACAAAAAAAAAATCGAACCAAGATCTTCTTTCTGTCTGAGAGGCAAAAAAGATGGCAGAAATCGAAAATTTGGAAAAAAGGGAAGACCGATCATGGATCGGCTGGGAAAGCAGGGAGACGGGGGAGCGGGGAAACAAGAAAACAGAGAAACGGGAAGGCGGGGAAACGGGGAAGCGGGAAAGCAGGGAGGCGGGAAAGCAGGGAGACGGGAAACGGGGGAAAACATGGAAACGGGAAAGCGGGAAAGCAGGAAGACGGGGAAGCGGCGGATCGGGAGAGCGGGGAAACGGGAAAGCAGGGGAACGGGAAAGCGGGGAATCTCCATCCACAGCGCCTGTGCAACGGAACAAGACTCGCCGTCAAGAACTTGATGAACAATGTGATTGAGGCAACGATTCTCAACGGGAAATTCGAGGGAGAAGATGTTTTATTGCCAGTGATTCAGATGATCCCTACCGATATCCCCTTCGAGTTCAAGCGTCTACAGTTCCCAGTTCGTCCCGCTTTCGCCATGACGATAAACAAAGCCCAGGGACAATCAATGCAGGTATGCGGTCTCGATCTCGAAAACCCGTATTTCTCTCACGGCCAGCTGTATGTTGCATCTAGAGTTGGGGAACCCGCTGATTTATTCGTGTATGCCGCCGACGGGAAAACAAAAAACATTGTTTACGGAGAAGCCCTTGAATAGAAATCGATAACCTCCTTGACAATCAAGGAATCACAGAGATTCATTACCAGACAAACAAATACAAGAGATCCGGAACATGTGTCGCGAAGCGCTCATAGCTATCGCTGCGCACGTTTCAGGCTGTTGTGTGGGATCTTCTTTCAGCAAATATCACATTCAGAGAGCCACGGCGACATTAGCGCGGCAAACTCGCCGAGTAGCTGTCTTAGAGGAACGACCGTTTCCGACCAAGCGTGGTGTCTCCTCTTTGAATGACTCTTCTTTGAATGAGAAGCCACTTCTCGAAGAACGTGTCATCTTTCGGTAGGATTGTTTCGAAGCGAGAGAGACATTCGGTTTCGTCGTAGCTGTTCGAAGCAACGATCTTTTTCGAGAAGAAAGAATCGCTTCAATCCGTCTCGATCACTCGCAGCGAGCAGTAAGAAATTTCACCACGTCCCAGTGTGTTCACGGATTCATAGTGTTCTCAGCGAAGAATCAAATTCAAAGTGAGTTCACCCATTGAGTTGAGTGAAGCATTTCTTCATGATTTCACCCAACATACTTTACGACGAGAGTTTTTCGGCCAAGCGGCCGGGCGGAGGGACTGCGAGACGCAGCGCGCCCATGAGTTCCGAAAAACGTACCGGTCGCTCGGCGAGCTGCGAACGAGACTCTTGAAATTCCTGAGACGGATTCATCAAGGAAGAGCCGAGCCGAGGTAAGAAGAGCTCTTCAATGAGATCGCATGCGTTTCGACGGTGCATCTCGAGCAGCGGTTTTGTTTGTTCAACCCGAATGAATTAAATTATTCTAACAACAAAAAAACTATTCTCCTCAATTCGTTTCGCTGCGGAATCTCACATGAGGTATTGATTCAAAGATGAAGACTATAAAGAAGAATATGGAACAAGAAGATTGATTTTTGCTTCAGGTCCCGCACTGGAAAGCCGATCACTGCGGGCGCTCTCGAAGAAGTAGGGAGCCTCTCCCAAATTCAACGTCCGTACCTCCGAGGACTACGGAGGTATATATTGGTTCCTGATGTCATCCGCGAACCTATCCAAAGCAGCGTGGAGCAATGCAGAAGTTAGAGCTCTTCTTTCTTATGAAAGGGGCGCAATGTAGAACTGACTTGAAGAATGTAGCTCTGACTTTTCTGCATGTGCCCAGACGACCTGTGAAATCGACAATAAATCGAACTTTTTTAGAAAAACCCAAAAGAGTTTTCCATATCGTAGAATTAGGCTCTCGGAATCGAAGGTGCTCCAAACCTCAACCGGACTCGGTGAGACCCAACCGTTGCTTTAGTATTGACCACGGGCTTCGAAATTCAGCCGAATCCAGAATGGGTCTAACTTGGGAAGCTCATTTGTTCTTGGGAGTCATTCTCGCCGCGAATTCGAATCGAATTTTGCAGTTTTCCGCAATTCCAAGGGAATTTCGGAGTTCTCCGCGTGTTCAGAGTTCTCTCACTGCGATACGCCGCGATTTCGGCAATATATTGGCGCGAAAAACTTACATCGTTAGAAATGACCATTGAAAGATACACCGATAGCAAGCGAACTCATGAGCGCTCTCATAGCAAGCGCACCCAGAGCTAGCGCACTCGGAGCCAGCGCACTCGGAGCTAGCGCATGTGTAGTGAGCCTAGTAAGGATATAATCCCTCAGCGCTCCAGTCCGCGATCCTTCAGGAGGCTTAGATGATCTCGAATTCCGAAATCAGAACACATGCACCGGCGATCCAAGCCGCATGATCAGGGGAGTCCCCTAAGCAGGCGAGACTTCTTCGTGGGTCGCACCGTGAAGATGGCTGGACTCCACGCCCAGGTCAGCGAGGACGTCTTGTGAGAGTGCATTAGGGTCTAAAATGTTCCACGAATGCCCAAGAGCCGTTCGATGAGCGAGTTTGAATGTAGAAGGTAGGGAATTCATTTACTTGGCATCGAGGAGGTTCGTCATCCTTCTCAGCAGAAGATCTTTTTGCGTCTTTATCTTCAAGGTGGGGAGAGCCGAAATTGAGCGAACTGAGGATTCCTTTCCGGGCTTGCTTGAATGAGAGACATTTGGGCCGTTCCAGTGTCAGAGATTCCCCTGTCTTGCCCTCCGACGACGACGCTTCGTAGTTCATGGACCTTATTCCTGGAAGGCTTATCAGGAAGGCTCACGGCCCGGCTGGACCTCCCGCGCTAGATTTTCCACGAAGGGAGAGCAAAATAAGGGCCGTTGATAACATCCGGTATCGAAATTCCCCTATTTAGTTATGTCTCGCTTGGAGATTGCTCTGGTGCTGCTCCCTGACATGAAGCAGCTTCTGGATGAGTTCCTGCATTTGACAAAGCCACGCTCATTGAGTCCATCGGGCCTTGTCGATTGCTCTTTGGGAATTATCGGCGGATTTTGAGGGCGCTCGAGTCTCAAGAAGGATGCGTCCCATCGACTCCGTGTCCGTGCATCCGAGTCTTTTCCAAGGAAACCTATACAGACAGAGACTCGACGGGGTCCGAGAATTCCCTTTAACGTCTGTGATGAAGAGACGGATGCTTATACGGGCGCTGAAACCTCAAAACTCTCTCGGAATTCCGAATCGAACCATCAAGTCAGAAGGTGAACACTCCTCGAAATTCCTCCTTGGGGTGAGGGATCGCGGTGAGAGAGAGAGCTATTTGAAGTCGAGCAGACCTGCCCCCTCACCCCGAGATGCTTTCTTAGTGGAGGAGGTCAGAATACTTGGCAAAACAATTGATAAAGCGAATCCAATGGGAAGGAGGCATTGACCGAGCCTTTCTTGGCATTCGACTGCCGGGATCCGGAACAATACTGATAACGTCAGGACGCGGAGTCTGACACACGACTTGCTCAAGATAATTCATTGATGAGATGTAACTAGCGCGAGGCCAGAACAATGGGGGAGTTCTTCTCGGAGAGGGTGAGATATCTTGAGAGATCCCCTCTTACATGGTATTTAAAGGAGTAAAAATCTCTAGACTCTTTCGGATGTCTTCGACTTGAATTGCAACCAAGCATTCGCAGAATGGACTACCATTCTACAGAGCCGCCAGCATTCGTCCGGAAACTCGCTGAAGACTTTTCAAAAGAGTTGATCGCTTCTCGACCTCCGCCGTTCTTCTCTGAGCTCCGGCTGTCGGTCGACGAGGCCGGTTTTGATTACGAGGCCCCTTTCGCGACGTCGGCATGCGAGCAGGCTCGAATCGTACCCAATGGGCGCGTTCGTACGCGCCCCGCAGAGGAGGATCGAGGAGCGGAGGACGATTCGAACACACAGGGTGATTTGGCGAAAAGGATAGATTATGGGGTTCAGGACGAACGTGAGGTCCACGCCGACTGTTTGGTTCAGGTCGACCGTGACGTTGAGAACAATTGTGAAGTACGGGACAGTTGTGAGCTTCAGAACGATTGTGAGGTTGAGGACGTTAGTGAGGTTCAGGACAGTAGTGAGATTCTGGACCTTTGTGAGGTTCAGGTCGATTGTGTGGTTCAGGACGATTGTGTGGTTCAGGACGATGATGTGTTTCAGGAAGATTGTGTGTTTCAGGAAGATTGTGTGGTTCAGGAAGATTGTGTGGTTCAGGACGATTGTGTGGTTCAGGACGATTGTGTGGTTCAGGACGATTGTGTGGTTCAGGACGATTGTGTGGTTCAGGACGATTGTGTGGTTCGGGACGATTGTGTGGTTCGGGACGATTGTGTGGTTCAGGACGATTGTGTGGTTCAGGACGATTGTGAGGTTCGGGTCGATTGTGAGGTTCAGACCGATTGTGTGTTACGGGACACTTTGGATGCACAGGACAAACCAGTGGAAGAAGTTGACCTGGCGATTCAGGACGATCGGAAGGGCGAGTCGGTGGTTCAGGACAAGCCCGAGGTACAGTTCTATCGGGACGAACACGACGAACGGGAGATGCAAGACCAGCCGGAGGTACATGACGAGCTAGGAGTGAAGCCCGAGCCGGGGCTGCTAGACCAATCGGAGGTACAGGACGAGCTCATCAGGCAGTGCGACCCATACGGCGTCGCGAAATATTTCGAAATACTGGATCAAAAGCCCACGTCCAATGCGGGGCGGAAGCGGAAAATGAATGAGCCCGAATCGGAACAAGCCAAGATTGCTCGCATCAATCGAGAGAAGAAAAAAGAGTTCCTCGAAAAGCTGGAAAACGGTTTGCGGGTGCTCGCCTCATTGTATTGCAGTCTCGTCGATGTTTGCGGAGCGGAAATGATGAGGATCGAGGCGCTCGAATGTGAGTTGGCGGCCGCCAGAAGCGCTATCCTACGAGAACCGCTGATTTCGTTTTCCGGAAGCGTTTTCTGTGACGAATCGGAAGATTTCATAATATCTGACGGAGATTCACGTGAATAAAAGAATATCTGAACTTGATTTTCTGTGCCGAGATCGACGGAAGATCCATCTTGCGTGCACCAAGAAAGGCGGCGCTTCGAGAAATCGAATTGACTTCAAGGAGACGTATTCTGGGCTCTTCAATGTCCAGCACATCAGAGATCGGGACCGAGCCAGGCGTGCGCCATCTTCTTCTTCATGTGGAAATCGCATGTTCGTCCGTTTGTTAGCTATTCATTAGGATGCCTCAGAGCATAGATCCTTGGAGAATGTTATAACTTACAACGATATTACTGCGGGGGTTCACCCAAACCAAAATTTCAGAAGGGAAGCGAGTTTGAAGCGAGCATTTGGCCACTAACACCTATCTTCGTTTCCAGAATAGTTGATCATTGATCTTCAATATGTTATGATGATTACACAATACAATGCCCCCAAACTTCAATGATTCGGTCGAAGGACCCTTCTGCCGCTGAGCGAGAGGCGTCTCTCGCGCCGGAGAGGTGACTTCCCTTTTGACCGAAAACAATTCGACCAGAGGCGATTGACCGAATCCGATCGGCCGAACCCGATTGACTGAGTCCGAGAGGCCGAAGCCGGACAACCGGCTTCGGTAGGCTTCACCCATCGCGCTGGAAGTTCGGCGCGTACGGATTCTC